GCAGCCTTCCTGGCCTTGGCGCTCCTGGCTCTTCACCCCTCCGCCTGCCCTCACCCTCCTCCCGCCTGCTTCCCGCCTGCCCTGAGGCTCCTTACATTCCGTCGGCTCCCCCTCCTCGGGGCCGGCTTCGCAGATTCGGGGCCTTTGTCTCTCTAACGTTCCTTCCTCTTGCCTCATGGAGAACTGCTTTCAGAGGGTGGTCCCCAAGCCTGGCTCTCCCCTGGCTCCCCTCGTTCATCCTTTATACATTTACGGCACCTCGTTTTACTTGCCCTCTTGTCCAAGGCATATCTGAGCCCATACAGGTGCTGTAAACATGACCAAGAACAGCCCATTCGTATAGCCTTCTGAGCGCCTCACGGTCATTTCTTTAAAGTCTGGGGTGACTGTTTCTGATACGTACTTTACCACCAAGTTGTCTCACTGCCCGAGGACCCGCCTGCAGAGCCAGGAACCTGGACGTCTCAGGCCCAGATCCACCTGTGGCCTTGACGGAGGCAGAGGCGGGTGTGCGTTTGCCGGGCGCGGTGGGAGCGCCGCTGTCAGACCTGGGACCGGTCCTAAGTGAGCTTGTCTGGACGGTGGGAGCTTTGCCCATCCACTTCCCCTCGGCCACATGACTTACGAAGGCCCGGTTCCTTTCAGTCCCACCATCTATTCAACCAGCAGTTCCTACAGATTCACCAAATTCCCACACTAGCTGTACCCACTAGGTCTCAGCTTTTTTTTTTTTAATCTTCACCTGAGGATATTTTTTCCATTGATTTCTAGAGAGTGGAGGGGAGGGAGGGGAAGAGAGAAACATCCGCATGAGACACATAGATTGCCTCCCACATGCACCCCTACCAGGGCTGGGGAAGCTGCAACCGAGGTAGGAGGTACACGCCCTTGACCGGGAATTGAACCCACAACCCGTCAGTCCGCAGGCGGACACCACCAGCTAGGGCAGGTCTCAGTTCTTAATAGCTGTGGGTAGTCTGATTTTAAAATGTATTGGAGCCCTGGCTGGTGTGTGGCTTGGTTGCGTGTTGTCCCGTGCACTGATTCGGTTCCTGGTCAGGGCATATACCCAGGTTGCAGGTTTGATCCTGTTGGGATGCGTACGGGAGGCAACCGATCAATGTTTCTCTTCCTCTCTTAAAGTCAATAAAAAATGTTTTTAAATGTATAGGAAAACTTTACTGATACTAGGTATTTTATCCCTTATATTAGTCTCTTCCATAATGAAATAGCTGTAAATATTTATCTATGATTTTTAAAAACCCAACCGCAGTTCTCAGTAAACCCAACCACAATACCATTTTACACCTAAAAAAGACTATTTCATTAATATCAAATATCCAGCGTTCATATTTTCGTAATGTCAATTAAAAATTTTTTGAATCATGATCCAGATGGGATCCAAACATTGCATTATGAGTCCCTTAACTCTCCTTTAACCTATAGCTTCATGCTCCATCTGTATCTTATGTTTTATTGAAGCAACCAGATCCCTTTCCCTGGACTTTTCTCTGAATATTGCTGATTGGACTCCCACTGTATTTTTTAACATGTTTCTCTATTTTCATTTTTATTTAGTGATTTGAGAGAGAGGAAGAGGGAGAGAGACAATTTGTTGTTCCACTTAGTTATGCATTCATTGGTTGATTCTTATATGCCCTGAGTGGGGATTGAACCTCCAACCTTGGCATATTGGGACAATACTCTAACCAACTGAGATATAAGGCCAGGGTTATATTTTCTTATTTCCTATGAATTGGTAGTTTTATCTACAGAGTCGATTCAGTTAGATTTTGGGGCAATACCTTACACAGGGTGTTAGTATTTTAAAAGTTGGGCTCTGGCTGGGTGGCTTAGTCAGTTTGGAGCGTCATCCCGTACACCAAAAGGTTGTGGGTTCCATGCCTGGTCAGGGCACACATCTAGGTTGTGGTTTTGATCCCGTCGGGACACGTATAGGAGGTGGCTGATTGACGTTTCTCTCTTGCATCAATGTTTCTGTCTCTCTCTAAAAATCAATAAAAACATATCCTCAGGTGAGGATTTTAAAAAAAGTAATTGAAAAGAGTTCACACGTTTAGAAGTCCCTATAAAATAATAATTGCATTTTGTTATATATTTATTGAAGACAATCATTTACAGTTTATAAAAAAAATATTGGCCTTCTATACACAAAAATTTCTTGATAATGGTAATGAAAACCAGCTACTCCCACCCCCCTAGTGTCCACACCAATATTCAATCTAGATTGGTTTAATCTTGAAGTGTAATCCAATAAGACTGAAGACCAAACACTTCAGGTCCTGGACAAGATAATAAAATACTCGTAAGCCTTCTGGGTCCCTAAAATGCAAAAGGAAAAAAATGTTTAAAAAGCAGAGACAACTGGCAAGATAATACCACTTAACGCAAATTATGTACCAAGGCATTACTCATAAAGGTATTTACAGAATTAAAACTTTGAAAACAGAGTTCCAAAAGGGAGGAAAAGGCTACATGCTACATATTAAAACGGAATATGAGGTCATTTAAAATGTTAAGGTTTTAAAAATTGGGGAAATGTTTATATTAAGTGAAAAAAATCATTCAAATAACATTATTGGTCTAAATATTTTTTGGTGCCTTTAAAAACTATATTTTTTAATGCTCAGAAAAAAGATAAGAAATACTTTAAGCCAGTGGTCGCCAACTGGTGGTCCTCAGATCACTGGTGGTCCATGAGGTTCAAAAGGTTGGGGACCGCTGCTTTAAGCCCAGCTGGCATGGCTCAGTGGTTGAGCATCAACCTATGAACCAGAAGGTCACGGGTTCAATTCCCAGTCAGGGCACATGCCCAGGTTGCAGGCTCCATGCCCAGTGTGCGACTTGTAGGAGGCAGCCAAACATTGATTCTCTCTCATCATTGATGTTTCTATCTCTCTCTCCCTCTTCCTTCCTCTCTGAAATCCATAAAAATATATTAAAAAAATACTTTACAGTATTAATGGTTGTCTAATTGACAGGTTTATGGGTGATTTTCCCCTTACATTTTTAGGTTTCCTTTATTTTCCATAATGAGCATGTATAAGTTTCAGAATTAGGAAAACTTTTTTTTAAGAAGTAGTACTAGTCAGGATCAAGAGGCTGAAGGTTACTACAGCAGAACTGGCTAAGAATAGGACTGTCCAAAGGAAGACAATTATGCCCACCATGTACTAAAAGTGAGCCATGTCTAATCCCAAATGCCCAAAACACAGGAGCCAAAGAGATTTTCAAATTCTGAGGACTCCGCAGCATACTTTTTTTTTTTATACTTTTTTTTTCGCAGCATACTTTATAATTTGCCCTCCTGACATGAATTTTTAAATTTATATTCCAAATAATTTCAAGTTCCACCCAAATCAGACTTTAAGATGTGCTAGTCTGAATGACTAACATCAAGGAAGGTAGTTAGACTTAACAACTCTACAGTTTATCTTAAGCACTTGTATTGGCATATTTCATTTTTCTGTTCTGGACAGATTCTTACCCACACTGGCTGCTCCAATGGCATTACTGTGTGTGTCACTGAGAAGCTCTTATTAGTAACTAGAGGCCCGATGCACAAAATTCGTGCAAGGGACTCAGCCCTTGCAGCCCCGGCTTGGTCCGAAGGTCATTTGGCTGCCCAGTCTAATTAGCATATTACACTTTTATGCTAATTAGACCACACGGCCAAACAACCTTCCAGACGAAGCCGTCATGGCGGGGGTGATCAGGCAGGCAGAGGGGTTAGGGGCAATCAGGCAGGCAAGCAGAGTGGTTAGGAGCCAGCGGTCCCGGATTGTGAGAGGGGGAGGGGGGCCCCCCCCCCCCCCCCCCCCCCCGCGCAAATTTTGTGCACCGAGCCTCTAGTTATAGATAACTGGACAAAAGGTCAAAAGCAATAGGAGCAAGTCTTGAAAATAATTTAGAGCCTCTCTCCATCTGTACCGGATCTTACCATATGGTCCCAATTTGTTTAAGGATTTCATATCAATCTGCTGCAAAACAGACACATCTAGACATACAGATCATGTACACTTACTTGGATTGATTGACATCAATGAGGGAACCAATTTTTGATGTTGTGAAAGAAATGTGTTCATCTCCAATGACGATTTCAAGCTCCTGGAAACATTTAAAAATGTTTAAAATCAAGCCAAATTGGATTGTTCATTAAGTACACAGGAAGTTCATCTGCCAAATCACACAAACTCTATCTACTACACATAAACAAGACCAGTTCCCTCTGAGCAGTAAATTGTGCTAGGTACTAGAAGCAAAGAGATAAATACTCGCTTGAGTAGCTCATATTTTTAGAGGAAGTTGTGTCGGTAATTTGTAAGAAATTACATAATTGTTTTGTATATGTGTTTTTGTTGTTAACAGTGTAGAGTAACATGTATGTTTTATAAATACCAAGAATCTTAACTTTTCTGGGCAACACGGGACAATTTTGGACAATGATAAATGCTATGAAGACGATCAAACATCTTTTTTTAAATGACAGGGAGAGGTGTTTTCTTTATTTGGATTCTGTCCTTTATTAATTTTCAGGGGAAAGCCATGCAGTGGCATCTGGCTCAGTAGAGACATTGATCAGATTTGTAAAAATGGCAGGTTTGCAGACCTTGGGTAATGTACATCAAATTCAGCAAGCCAAGGAGTGAATTTTTCATGATGGAGTTCTTACTACTCACTGGTTCTGGGCCAGTTTTCCATAGCCTCCTAATGGGGAGAGGTGTTTTAGATGTGATGGACAGACAAGATATCACTGAAAAAGTGACATATGAAGGCTTTAATAATAAAGTTTTAGAAAAAATATTTCAGGAAGCATGTAGCAAATACAAAGGTCCTAAACTAAGAACAACAGGTATATCTAAAGGACAGAAATAAGACCAGTGAGGTTTGAACACAGCCAGAGATTGTAAGATAAGGTGGGAGTTTGGATTTTATTTTAAATGCAGTGGAAAGCTACTAGAGCAAGCATGTCAAACTCAAAGGCTAACATGGGACAAATAAACAAGGTTTAAGTTTATGTAGGCTGCAAAAAGACAAAAGCTTCAATTTTCATAGAAACATAGGTTTATTTCGACAGAGACATGCTGAATACAAAGGATTGAAATAAATAAGTGATCGTTAACATAAAATAATAGAACATTTTAATAAAAATTAATATTTTTTCTTGGACATTAACTTACTAGACACTGAATAACTGCACAAATTAATAAGCATAATGCAAATAAACCTATTTTTCTTGTTCTCCAAAAGTGAAATATTTCTGTTGCGCACACCAAACAAGTCAGTCCAAGACTAATGATGTGACAATTGGCTGCTAAAATATTCGCTGCTAGCATTAGTGGAGAGAAATGGTGCGCCTGCGCTTAAGGGAAATGAATGCAACATGATTATAGTAATCAGTCATTAGCGAATGTTGTAGTTTGTTATTAAAAATTATGAATAACAGGATATTGTAAAAATTAAGTTATGAAATTTTTATTAAAACGTTTCTTACATACCGTTATATTGACTGGGCCACAAAAATATTCGTTGTGGACTGAGAGTTTGACATGCTTGTACCAGAGAGTTTAAAATTAGTGGAATACAGTAAGCCCTTACTTAAATTGTTGGTTGGTTCTGTGACTTTAAGCAAAGCGATAGAGTATAATAACCAACTTTATCATAGGCTAACTGATAGAAATAACAGTTAAATTCATATGGCATCTCATCACATTATAAGAAAGCCACATTAAATAGAATGATGTTATTTGAGGACCTGCTATACATAAACAAATTTACATTTTACAAGATTACTCTGGCTTCAGGTTGGAAAATGGGCTGCACAGGATAAGAGAAACAAAAAAATCAATTAGAAGTCTGGATTAGGAAAGAAGTAGATGAGGTTAGTTGCTTGCATGATTTTCCTTCCATTAGACTGTCGGACTATTGAAATAACTATGTTCTATTTATCTCTGTATCTTCACACTGCTTTGTCTATAGTAGTAAGTAAGGTGGGCAGCAAAACCCTGAGAAGAGGGAGAGGGAAGGTCACAAGAAGAAACTCAGGGCTGGGCTCCTGGTGGTCAGCAGCACTTCTTGCTCTCTCTCTTCCTCCCTGTGGGTTCACTGCTTCCTTAGATCAAGGTGCTCGTAATCTGCCCGTGTAGGGCTCCATATGCATGCGCGCACGCACACAAGTGGAGGATTCAATGTCCTGTGGAGAGTAGTCAACTTATCTTATTTGTAAGATTTCTGCACTGGGAATAGCTGCTAAAACACTCACCTGCCGGCCCACTCGGTCGGGGGGAGGCCACAAAGCATCATCCTCTTTGGTAATTTCACTGTCATCAATTATTCTCTTCAGTTCCTCCATCACACTCTTATGTACATAAGCCTGAAAGTAAGTTAAAAAACAGAATTTAAGTTGTATTCCTAAGCAGCATTCTGCCTCAGATAGTGATTAAAGATAAAAAAAAGACTGCTCCTGAAAAGTCATTTCTGGCACCTCTGCAAATGGGAAGACATTCAGGCTTGACCTCAGCATGCTGAAGAGGGCAGGGTCAGAAGTGCCCAATGATTACACCTCCGTACCCCATATGGTTGTTTCTACTTCCTGGCACATCCTATTCATATGGACCTCTCCTTACCTACACATCTAACTCACACCTAGACCCAAAATAGATCTCTGTGTAACCCTGGTTATTCTTAACTAGATGACATGCTTCTGAAAAGCAGAGACATGTCTTTTAAATACACTCTACATATCCTATCTAATAATAGACAAAGATGCAAATTGACCGTACCTTCGCTACACCCACCACTGGCTAGTCAGAGTGATATGCAAATTAACAAAGATGGTGGCTAATTTGCATATACCAGCTGGGAGCGAAGACTGAAGACACCATAGAAGGAAGCCAAGCAACGGAGCTGAGGTAGCGGAGACGGGCAGGAGAGAAGGGTGGGGTAGGAGCGGCAGAGACTGGCAACGGGCGGGGTAGGAAAGGCAGAGATGTGAGCAAAGCCCTATTCTTGCAGGAATCTTCCTGCAAACGGGCCTCTACTTAGTTTATATTAAAAAAAAAAAAAAAAAAAGAAGCCCCGCCAGTGTGGCTCTGTGATTGACCTATGAACCAGGAGGTCCCAGTTCGATTCTTGGTCAGGGCACATGCCTAGGTTGCGGGCTTGGTCCCCAGTGTGGGGCATGCAGGAGGCAGCCAAACAATGATTCTCTCTCATCACTGATGTTTTTTTTTCTCTCTCTCTCCCTTCCTCTCTGAAATCAATAAAAATATCTATTTTTTTAAAAAAGGATGCTGACATGTGTAGGTAAGCATAAAACTGATTGCTAATCCTATATAATAAAAGGCCAGCGACCATAAGCATAACAACCAGAACGACCGCTCGACCAGTCGCCATGAGGTGCACTGACCACCTCTCGGTCCCCCGGCGAACCGAGGTGAACGGCGGTGGGGCAGGACTGGCGAGCGGGTTGAACAGCCGACCTCTTGGTCCCTCCCCACAGCCCACAGGCTCCGGGGAACCAGAGCCATGCTGTGATTGAGGAATCACGGGGAACCAGGGGGTGGCAGTGGAGTGGGACTGGGGACTGGTGAGCAGGCAGAAGATGGCCCTGATTGCAGGCTAGGCCTAGGGACCCTACCCCCACACGATTTTGTGTGCTGGGCCTCTAGTTAAATATAACAGTATGAAAATATACTGATTGTTAAGATAGTTTCAAATGTTAACAAAGTGGCTAAAAAGGAAGTGTAGCTTTGATGAAGACTTAATGGTGTGGTAGAAATCACACCAAAATGGAGCACATGACAGAGGCAGGAATAGGTTTGAATTCCTGTTCTATCCTTTACTGGCAGGGGTGACTTTGAACAAGTTCCATAAATCATATCTGGGCTTTCACAGTCTTATCTGTAAAGGGTATCTAATATCATCTATTACCTGAGCTTATAATCAGGATCAAATAAGATCATGTATGTAAAATATCTAGTGTCATGCCTGGCATCTAACAAGCATTCAATAAGGTTAACCATTTTTCCACGCTCCCTTTCCCATTCAAATGCAAATTAGAGCTCCACTGAGTGCTGTGTACCAGGGAATATACCAAATACTTTGAGTGGGGATTAGCTCTTATTTGTTTTTATTGCAGATGAAGAAACTGAATTTATCAAGTTCAGCTGGGAAATTTGCCCAAGGCCACATAGTTAGTAAGCAGCAGATTCAGGGTTCAACCCAAGATCTGCAAGAATTCACGTGATAGCCAATAACTGATTCAGTGTTGTGAAAGAAAATATAAACTAAAAGATTTGAGAAAAACATTAGAAGCTGTCTACAGACATGTTTATACTTTCCTCTTCTTTATCTTTCATTACTACTCCCAGAAAGAACAAACAAAGACAAAAGGCTAAACTGTAGTGAATGAGAAAGTCTCTCAGAAGGCTCATTACCTCTTTTCTGATCATGACATCATTCTTATAATTGCTGTTGTTGGCGTATCTCAATTTCCCTGTGAGGGGGGAAAAATCAATATATAATAAAAACATATGACTAAATCATCATTAGCCTACTAAGACTATCAGTTGTTGCTTAAAACGTATTCTAACTTTTTAAATATTTACACCTTTAGTGTTTCAACAATACATTTTTTCAGTTCTTCACTTTAGGCTATTAAATAGCCTCACAGCCAAAACTATAGCTGATGCTGAATTACAGATCTTGCAAAAGGTAGCTCAGGTAGGACAAAAGAACTCAGGTAGAATCATATTTCTGCAGGTTAATGTCCTAAGCCAGCCGTGGGCAAACTACGGCCCGCGGGCCGGATCCGGCCCGTTTGAAATGAATAAAACTAAAAAAAAAAAAAAAAAAAGACCGTACCCTTTTATGTAATGATGTTTACTTTGAATTTATATTAGTTCACACAAACACTCCATCCATGCTTTTGTTCCGGCCCTTCGGTCCAGTTTAAGAACCCATTGTGGCCCTCGAGTCAAAAAGTTTGCCCACCCCTGTCCTAAGCTAAAAACAGGGATAGTAATTGGTAACTTACCTGCACACAAGGCCTGCTGAGGCTATGAGTTATGAAAGCCTTTGAAAAATATAATTTACATACATTATCATGTGACTGTGTAATATTCTGATATATTCCTGTGACAGAAAAGTTGTGGTTTTAGCCCTGGCCAGTATGGCTCGGTTGGTTGGAATGTTGTCCCGTGAATTGAAGGGTTTCGTGTTTGATCCCTAGTCAGGGTAGGTACAAGGCAACCAATAGATTTTCTCTCTCACATCAATGTTTCTCTCTCTAAAAACCAATGAACATATCCTTGGGTGACGATTGAAAAAAAAAGTTGTGGTTTTATTACTTAACACATTTAGTATACAAGTCTCTCTGTGTATATACGCATTCAACAGGCTAATCTGGGTATATGGTGGGTACGAAGAAGATAAAAGAGGCAAATTAAATGATGCCTCACTGTACTCTCCACCTCAAGACTCTTTCCTTTCAGTTCATTCTCCACACAGTGGACAAAGTGATGTATAACAGCAAGATCTGATCAGTTTACTCTAATACTCTGATACGGACAATGGCTTCCCCCTGCCTTCTTGGCCCTGGTAAAATCAAATTCAACATGGCACACTGCTAAACTGAGCCTCTGCCTGCCTCTCCAGGCTCCCTCCCGCAAGAGCTCTCTCTCCATCAGGCTACTTGGTTTCTGTCTGAATCGTCCCATGCACTTTGTGGTTTTCAGCCTCTTTGCCATTAACGCTGTCCAAAATGCATTCTTAACTCCTGGTCACTGAAAACTCGCATCCCCCTTCCCTCATGTTTTGCCGGAAACCTCTGAACCCTCAGCTAGATTAGGTGCCTTCTTTCTGTTCCGAATCCCTCTGCTCCTTTCCCCCACAGCCCCTAATACACTGTCTCGTCACTGTTTACAAACCTATTTCCTTCACAAATGCAGCTTGTCAGATTCACCTCTGTGCCCCCATGTAGATTTCTATCATCTTTGACTCCTTTTCCTCACCACCCGCCCCCTCCCTAAATCCTATAACTGACAGTCATATTGGTTCTGCCTTGAACAGTATCCAAAGTCCTTCTCTCCACTCTCACCCTAGTCCCTACCAGCACCCCTTCTGTCTGGACAATTGTTAACTGTCTCCTAATAGGAGGCCCTGTTTCCACTTTTGCTCATTCTGTACCCGATCACTAGAATACTTTTTCAAGAACAGATCATACCTCTTCTCTGCTTAAAACTTTCCCACTGCTTCCTGCTGTACTTAGAATAAAATCCAAACTCTTCACCATGGCCTATAAAGACCTACATGTCGTGGCCACGGCCTACTTATCCCATATTACCTCCTACTTTTCTCCCCAGCCACACGGGCACCTGGAATAGCCTCGCTCACCCCGCCCTCTGGCCCCGACACCTGTTGCTCCCTCGGACTAGATGCTCTTTTGGGGCGTCACAGGCTGGCTCCTTGTCAATCAAGGTTCAGTTCAAATATCCCCTTTTCCGAGAGCTCCCCAACGGTCGCCCTATTTAAAACCAGCCCGTCATTTTGTTTATTTCCGACCACTCGTCACGGTCTGGGATCCCTTTTATGACTTCTCTCCCAGCCCTAGAATAAAAGCTCCCCGAGAGAGGAAGCTTGCCTATCGTTCGCGCCTGCATCCCAGGTAGTGAAACGGCGCCCGGTGCAGAGCGGGCGTGCACTCAGCGCCGGCTGAAGCATCCGGTGAAAATGTCACAACAGAAGACGCCCTGGACAGACAGAGCCCGTGGGGCGGACACAGGCGTGCTTCTCCCAGAGCCGTGCCTTCCTCCTCCAGCCCCCCGCACGTTCC